TATGGCGTCTATTGGATCAGAACAAAGAATGCTTAGTGTGAATAAAATACAATTTTATTAGAATAAGGATAGGCTATAACATATCACACAAATATACACTTTAATTTATAGTAGGTTCCATAGCAAATCTGGCGCATCAATCAATCCTTAAACTGGGCATGTAGTAAAACACTGACTACCGGAACACCGGAACACCACCGGAACACCACCGGAACATCACCTAACCCTAACCCCAACCCTAACCCCCAACCCAAACCCCCAACCCTAACCCCTAACCCCAAACCCTAACCCTAACCCCAAACAAAATGGTGGTGTTCCGGTGTTCCGGTGGTGTTCCGGTGTTCCGGTAGTCAGTGTTTTACTACATGCCCTTAAACTGTATTAATTATACCATTTCCAAGATATTCATTTTTCGCAATATAGTTTGCAGCCAAAAGCGTTTGACAGTAGGCGATATCTCTTCAAAGACAAAGATTTCTTCGTTTTTGTGTTCTCGTATTCCGATGACACTGGCTGGACGTGATGAAGTTTTGCATTCAATTTGGAAGCAACGTTTATATACACTTGCGAAGTATAGTATCATTCCAAGATAAACATGTAGACATTCCATGTTGATACTTCCAAATTAACTTTCTTCTTTAAATGTATATCTGATGCTTTTATGAATATTGCTTTTTTGAATATTTTCTTCCACGTGACAGAGACCATGGAAACACTGCATTATGTCAACCTTGATACATATATTTTTAGTTTGTTGCATATTGTGTTTTGCGAAATTGAGAGCAATTTCAAATCTGTTCAGTTTTTTTTTATACACCCTGTATAGGCCCTCTGGAAGGAATTGAACCTGTGGAAGGAATTGAACCTGTGCCAGGAATTGATCCAATAAATGGGTATTGTATGCCAGATATTTTGCCTAATATAAATATATAATTATATTGAATTCACTGCCTGGTTTGTGTTTTCTGTTGTAACGCGAGACACAAATATAGTTATACTGATTACCATATATTTTATTTATGAATTGTAGAATGATTCACTATAAAGTAGAAAACAAACCTGGTTGGTCTGTTGTGTTATAGTTTGTTTCTGGTCACAGAGCTGTTTTCTCAGTCTCTTGTTTCTATCTTTACACTTCCTCAAATTGTCTTTGTACCGACGAATCTCCTCAGCAAACAATTCGCATTTTTCACAATCAGTGGAAGAAGAAACAGGCGAAGTCACAAAGTCAGGAAAGTTAGATGCAACATCTGTCTTTGCCTTCGGTGTACTGCATGTAAATTCGGTTACAGCGTCTTGGAATACTTCGATCACTTCGTTGTTGACATCGGCTTCTTGTGCGGTATGCAAATCACTGAAATCGGCCGTGCTTGAATGACCTCCTATATATCACGCAAAATCTACAAAACATAAACGATTATATCAATAAAAATCAATATAATATAAATGTATAGAAATATACTTTGCGAGATAAATACAACACATTCAATTTTTGTCAACAAACCACATATTTATACACAATCATACCTTTCTATACGGTGGTCGGTACGTGTCACTACATAAACAAGTATCAAAACACGTTACAAAATCAAATAACGCCAACCAGAGAAAACTACGCATTTCAAAATGCTCACTACACATTACAAAATCCTCACTACAAATTTCAAAATGCTCACTACACATTTCAAAATACTCACTACACATTACAAAATACTCACTACACATTTCAAAATGCTCACTACACATTTCAAAATGCTCACTACACATTTCAAAATTCTCACTACACATTTCAAAATGCTCACTACACATTTCAATATGCTCACTACACATTTCAAAATGCTCACTACACATTTCAAAATGCTCACTACACATTTCAAAATTCTCACTACACATTTCAAAATGCTCACTACACATTTCAATATGCTCACTACACATTTCAAAATGCTCACTACACATTTCAAAATGCTCACTACACATTTCAAAATTCTCACTACACATTTCAAAATGCTCACTACACATTTCAATATGCTCACTACACATTTCAAAATGCTCACTACACATTTCAAAATGCTCACTACACATTTCAAAATTCTCACTACACATTTCAAAATGCTCACTACACATTTCAATATGCTCACTACACATTTCAAAATGCTCACTACACATTTCAAAATGCTCACTACACATTTCAAAATTCTCACTACACATTTCAAAATGCTCACTACACATTTCAATATGCTCACTACACATTTCAAAATGCTCACTACACATTTCAAAATGCTCACTACACATTTCAAAATTCTCACTACACATTTCAAAATGCTCACTACACATTTCAATATGCTCACTACACATTTCAAAATGCTCACTACACATTTCAATATGCTCACTACACATTTCAAAATACTCACTACACATCAAAATGCTCACTACACATTTCAATATTCTCACTACACATTTTAAAATACTCACTACACATTACAAAATATATCTCACTACACATTTCAAAATTCTCAGTACACATTTCAAAATACTCACTACACATTTCAAAATTCTCACTACACATTTCAAAATATTTATTACACATATTTTCAAAGTACTCACTACACGATTGAAAATATTCACCACACATTGTCCTCAGGTTCACTGATACTGGTTAAAAAAGGGCGGGAAAGGGTAATGTTCTGAAGGAATTTCCAGAAAAGATGGTGATTTTTGCTGCCGAGCGAAGCGATGGCAGCCACCTATTCTTGACAACGTTTACAGTTTTTACTCGTGCCAGATCCCCGCGCGACTTATGTATTTTAGCCAAAGCATTTAAGATTTGTTTGTCGTTCGTTCGTTCGTTCGATCATTCGGGTCGCATTTTCTGACGTCACAGAATTCGAATGACGTTGTGTACAAATTTATATACGCAGGAAGTTTACGATGACAATCCGATTACTTCCGAAAGCTGCGTTCGGTGCGCCGTAGCTTCATAGAAGCTATGACATTTAATTTTGACATGACCATATGGGCCATATATGACATGTCGCATATTTTTCCATTGCACGACGCTTATTTTACAATATTACTATTTGATTTTGGAGGAAAAGAATTATATTTTTGAAGTCTTTGAAGGTATGTTGATAAAAATAGTTATTTGAACGTTTGAATACTTTCATTTAAATATGTAAATGAACGTGATAGTCGTTTTTTAATACACGTTTTTTAATACATTATAAAAATTCGAATTCTATCTCCTCTAGGTGTATATTTTGTTGTGTTTGTGGCGATCATTTGGTCAAATCAAGTCAAAAGGAGCCGTTCATGTTATGTTTTTCAAAAAAGCAGTGAATTGTGAACTCGCTGGAACTGTACCAAACTTGCTAGCTATGTGTAAACTGGCTATATTTTATACTTTATACTTTATACTAGCGAAGTTGTGATCTTGCTGGCTGGGCAATCGTCGACGTTGGCGATAATAAAGTTGTATACTGATTCTGTCAAAAGATCAAGCCAACAAGGTATTGTATATCAAATTTTACAAATATATAGGTTGTATGTCAATTAGAAAATTGCCAATAATAAAAATAGTTATATATATTTATTATATTACAGTAAAATGATTATTAATATTGTTATTAATATGGGAATATGATATGGAGTAATTAAAGCCGTGCATAAAAGAACCAGTGAATTTTGACTTCAGGCTGTGGTTCTTATATTATCTTACTTCACACTATACTTTTTTATATCCTACACGTTGTATTTTCTCATTACACATTTCAAAATA